ATACGAAGCTGTTACATTGCAGTGCCGAAGGTACCTGTCAAAATCTTGGAATCGTACTGACCTGTCCCCGTCTCGAAGTCGCTTGAACTGCTCGCCAATAACACAGCTGAGAGTGGTGCCGACGAGACCACCGACAACTGGGTCCTCTAACATCGAGCCCACATAGAAATCCACATCATCTAGAATGGATGGATAGCAATGGAGGCCGAATTAATGACCTGGCTTTCTGACGAGGCTTACCAGTGGTGTTGTAATTTCGCTTGAGGCCGTTACGAAGATTTTTGTCGAGAATCATATCAGAGAAGTCTTCGAAATTAACGGCTTTCGGTAATCCACAGAACTTTCTCATCGTATTGTATGAGGGAATGCCATGATCACGACCTCGCTGGATATTCAATGAGCCAAGATCCGTGCTAAACCAGGCATATGAGGCATGAGTATAATACTCCAGAAACTCGTGAATTCTTGTACAATAAGAACAAATTCAAAATTTCACGAAGGAAAACTGCATAATTTAACACATTGACGACAACGCGAGTTTTGGCTTTTTTGGCCACGTGGGACCGGGGCGATTTTGCGGGCGCGGCCGCCTCAGGTCGTTCAAGCAGATTTTGAGTGATAAAAACATAAATAATGATCAATACAAAACCAGATCAGTAAATTGTAATGAGCACAACCTACCCGGAGGTACAGTAGTGGAATTTCGATTGAAAGACATGGAATAACAATGAAAAAGCGAAATTTTTCAGAACTAGCTGCAATGGACCTCAAAAGCAATTTTACGTTGATTATTTCAATCAAAACACACATATTGTCATCCCTAAGGTTCCGTATCTACTTCTACTACTATTTAAATCTTCACATTCATAAAAAGAAAAAGTAAACGAAAAATTTATTAAACTGAAGATTTCGTATGGTTCAGAAATCCTCCTCTAAATTGAAGCATACGTGACCATTCTATGGGCCACTATGTTTGTAGCTACGTCAAGGTCTCTTCCATGGAATAATACAAGAAACTTCTAAAAGAATCAGGCGTGCGCGAAAAAAATGAGTGTAATGGGTGCGGGGGATATATATCCCGCACGGTCCGACATGGCCTGCAATGCGCGGGATATATATCCCCCGCGTTGTCGTCAATGTGTTAA